ATATATATATATATGTATGCATACGTACATATGTATGTATATACTGAATCAAGAGGTTGGAACTTTAATTTTTTAAACTAGGAAAAAAGAAAAAAATTTTGCCGGGGATTTAGCTCAGTGGCACCGTGCCTGCCTCGCAAGAGCAAGGTCCCGAGTTCGATCCCCAGTACTAAAAACAAAATTAAAAATAAACTGGCGTTCTCTGTTTCACTGAGATATATTGAGATTAAATGAAATTTTTTACATCAATTTCCTAGAAAGGGGACACAAAAATAAAAGCTCACGAAGAAGCTGATAAACGCAAGAAGGAACACGAGAGAATTATGTTACAAAACCTACAAGAAAGATTAGAAAGAAAAAAGGTACTTGTTCTCTGTTTTGTGGGTTTTGGTTGTGTTAAACAATGTTGGGAGTGTGATACCAGAATGGTTTTGAAAATCGCAGATTGGGTGTGTGTTAGCCCCTGACTGTTTCCCCACTACCAAGGAGCTGACTTCTACATCGAAGGCTCTCCTCTTACTGAGCATGCGTACCCTTGGTAGCCACTACAGCAGTGCCTCTGTATCAAATCTGAGGGAACAAAGCTCCTTCGAACAGGATGCCTCCAGCCATAGTAGGGGTTGGTGGAACTTATTTTCTTCTAAACTAGGCTGGAATTTGCAGCAGCTGTGGTACAAAGAAGTGTAGGACTCTTTGAAAGGCCAACACACAGCCCATGGTAGTGCCACTTTTGTGCAACTCACATGGCTCATCTACCATATTTCCCCAAAAGTAAGACCAGGTCTTATATTAATTTTTGCTCCAAAAGATGTAAGAGGGCTTATTTTCAGGGGTTGGCTTATTTTTTTCATGTACATCAATCTACTCTACACGTATTTGTGTACAAAAATCTACATTTGTTTAAGTAGTCATGTCATCGTCTTCTGGAACATCATCCTAATTCTCCAAACCCCAGATTCTGGTCTGAATTTCTTTTTTTTTTTTGCCTGACTTTCTTGCAACTTCATGTCCTGGAGAACCACTGGCCCCAGTCCCTCACATCCAGCAATAGAGCTCTCCTTAAATGAGCACTTCTTCTTGTCCATGTAGCCTGCTCCTGATGCATTGACAACACAGCTGTCCATGATTTTACCCCATGAATTCTTCACCCACGTCACAACCTCTTGCAGGCTGGGCTTCACAAAGTTTCCATTAAGTCAAATGTCCATTGAAGACTTCCGAGACAGGAGCGGCAACAAAAATGATGACAGTTAAGAATGATGGTCTAGGGCTGGGGATTTAGCTCAGTGGTTCCACCGCCTGCCTCTCAAGTGCAAGGTCCCGAGTTCAATTCCTGGTACCAAAAATAAAAGAATGATGGTCCACACAAAAGCAACAAAAAATTGCAGACAGCAAAATTCAGAAAACGTTTCTTTATTTCACACAAGGGCATTAACTACATCTGTTATAACACACAACATACTGAATTATGAAGATTCATATTAGACATAATCGTGTCCATTGTGTGCACATGTTATTTGTGTGTGGTGTCTGTGCTCGATTGGTCATTTGGCAATAAGTCTGGAGTTCATCTGTTTACATAGGTGTTTACTTTTCCTCTAAAGGTACCCCCTTAAGGTGGTATTTAAAAATACTTAATTTATATTACCATGTATTTTAAGTATTAATTTTAATAATATTTATATTATATATTAACATTATTTTATAATTCATATGTCCGTTGTGTGTTGCAACAGATGTACTGGATGCATCCGTCTAGCTGACAATCTTAGCTGAGGGTTATTTTGGGGGTAGGGCTTATATTATAAGCACCCTGAAAAATCATGCTAGGGCTATTTTGGGAGAAACATGGTCGGAGCCTGGTCTTGGCCGAAGTGCTGTAAGGCCTCCCTGTCATTAGATTGATCACCGTGTGATGGCCAAGGAGCCACAGCTGGCCTCACCTCATGAAGGGGAGAGAAGTCTTATCCCACCCTAGAATACATCCCACCTCTGCCTCCTGTCTTCTCTTTTTAATAACAAAATCTCTTGACTGTATGGTAGCATTGAGGTACCTTATTTTCATTAAAATCAGCTTCAGGAATAATCTGTTAAGACTAAAATTCTGTTAAAAGCTCCAGTTGATTTGCAATAATACATGATTAGTCTAAGGGAGTGAATTTCCATGTCTGTGAAGACAGGAATGAGAAGTTGCCATTTGTGTGACTGTGTTATGATAACAAGTACAACTATTGTCATTCATGGCATTTTGTAGGGGAAACCAGGATGGGAAGAGGGAAGTCAGCTGCCACACCAAGCCTTTTGTTGGTTTAATCTGTGAAAAGGAGATATTAACTGCTTCAGGACCACTGGTTTTAATCTCTTTTTATGTTTGAATTTTTATTTCCTTTAAATAGAGAATTGAGGAAATAATGAAGAGGACAAGGAAGACCGATGTAAATGCCTCCAAGGTAGTCTCCACTCCTACAAGCAGTGCATAAGAATTACTTGTTTCATGTTCTTGCCAACTTTCCACTTTTGCAAATCTGGTGGTAAAGAAAAAGTATCACATTTGCATTTCTGTGATGGTTAAAGAGATAAAGCTTGTTTTATACCTCTAGATAGCTTTCCTGTTTTCTCTGTGTGAAATGCTTGTTTTGGTCATTTTGCCCAAAACGTTTGGGCTGATTTGTCATTTGCTTTTTTGTAGCTCTTCGAATGTTCTAAACTCTGCTGCTTTTTTGATTGTTTAATGTAGGTAGCTTCTCCTGATGCATGGCTTGTCTTGTCCTATTGTCATCTTCTGCTGGATAGATTCTCCTAATGTTAATGCTGTTGAATTTTGTCAATATTTTCTGGTACAAAGTTGAATGCTTTTTCGTATACTTACTAGTCATTTGGAGATCCACTTTAGTAACATGCCTTTTCAAGTCACTGGCCCATTTTCTTACTTTGTCCTTTTTCTTATTGATTGTAGGAATTTTTACTCTGGCCAGGAATCCTTTCATACATGTATTGCAGGGATCTTCTCTCATGCTATGAAAGGGCTGATCAAATAATATGATGTATGTTTACATTTTTAAAATTTATTACATTATCGGATACATTACCATTAATCCCCCTCGAAACACTCCCCCTTGCTTCAAACACACTTATCCCATCATTCTTTCCACTTTCTGAGGCAGTTCTAGAAGTCCAAAAATAAATGTGACCAAAAATAAGGTGAGTGCTACTGCCAAGTGTCATCCAATGGAAAGTCAGGCTCGAAAAAAGTGTTCCAGTGCGTCCTCATCCACCTTGTTCACCAGATCTGGCACCTTGCCACTTGAGGCTCTTCCCTAAAGTCAAAATGGCCATGAAGGTAAACATTTTGAATCAGTTCAGGACAGTGAGATAGCCACAAGAGTACAACTAGAGACACTCCTGAAAGAGTGGCAAAAATAATGGGATACGTATGTTTGCAGTGAGGGGAGTATTTTGAAGGAGATTAATGGCAAGGTGTCTTTTACGGTAATCACTGTTTTTTCATTTAAACATTCAGTCTCTTTTTGATCATACCACAGCCTCATTCTCTTGCTGTCTTAATGAATCAGTGTTTATCATTTCAGTGAACTCAGATTGATCCTTTTTTTCCTTTATGGGGAATGCTTTTTAAATCTTTTTCAGTTTTTACTTTCTCCAATATCATGTCTTTTGATGGAACACATGCATTTAACATGTTCATAATAGGGCCATACTTTGTATGTCTCACTGCTGGGAGGCTCTGATTTACTGAAATAAATAAATTTGTTCATTATTCAAATAATTTTTAAATGGTATGAGTAATATTAATTTATATTTATATTTGGCCTATAATTATTCAAATTCAAGCAACTAGATTTGGTCTGTTTATAGGCTTTTTATTACTTTTATTAGTAAAAAGACTGATAAAAGTGATTAGATCTATTTGTACCACCAGGGTACAAGCTGTATAATGAGACCACTAGTGGTTTAAGCAGGCAGGAATGTTAAGCCCTTTTTCCTCCAGATTTGGTGTTCTTTTCATTCTTTGTTACAAAACTGATATTCTGTTGTTTACAATTGCCCTTTTCTGCTCAGTCATACCATTAAGTAGCATGAGAATGTAGACCAGGTATGTCAGTTCTGAAAAGTGCTGGCAGTCTCTATCTCAAAGTTAAGTCAGTTCATTGGCCCAGGAAATTTCACCTCAAGCAGCAGCCAAGAACTTTTTAGCTCTTCACCAACTCGTTGAACCTTGGCTTAATTGGGATTCCGAGCAAGGAGAGGACAGATGGCAGTCCAAAGCTGTGGCGCCTGGACCCTCACTCAGGGCCAGCCTTCATTCTTGAATATTTTCCCTAGCTGAAAGACGTAGCTAAGGCCCCCTGCCCCTGTCCTCTGTAGATTCTTGGCGCCAGTTAAAGAGGTGATTTTCTTAACCTTTTAATTGAAAAGTTAACCATCAGTCCAGTCTTAAAATCAGACCTCTTTGAAATTCTAAGCCAGGATGGTTGAATATTAGTTATAATTATTATTTTCTTTTTTAACTATAGGCTATGGAAATATCCAGCAATGACACAACTGAAGAAGATGAGGCTGATGATGAGGAGACGGAAAGTGATGAGGACTCCCTTGATGACATGTTTACATCAGGTTTGCTTGCTCCCGCTGCTTCTGTTAGTCACCATTCAGGGGCTGGACTGCCTAGGTTCATATCCAAGGGCTCTTCCACTTGTGAGCTGTGTGGTCTTGGGCAGGTCACTTAACCTCTCTGCTCAGAAGGGGAGTTAATGTTGTCTTCCTCCTGGGGCAGGCATGAGATTTTAATGAGATAAATCTGAGTATACTAAGCATAATATCTGACATGTAGTAAACTCTGAATAAATATTAGCTGCTACTGCTGCTGTTACCTTACAGGTCATACTAATAGACTGTAGGTGGCTCTCTTCCTCAGTTGAATGTGAGGATTGCTGGCATTTCTCAGCTCAAGGCCTCAAAAGGCATCCGTGATTGACTACAGGGTAGAATGCCACTTTCTGCCTCCTTAAGAAAAAATCAGGTCATGATATGAGTGCCCTCCAAAATATATAGTTAATTCCCTGTGAGGAGGAAACAGAACCGCAGTAATTGTCATATCCATCCATACTTATCCTGCAAGCGGACAGTGGACAGGTAAGGAAGGTGTGGTATAAGGTGCTAGAGATGAAGAGCCGTGGCCCTCAGCCTCAGGGAGCCATAGCCAGTGGGAGACAAACACAGGAACAAACAGAGGTGGGGCCTGTGACTGGGTCCGAAGTTCAGTCAGCGTACAGAGGGGACAGAGCAGCAGGCACCTCTGGGTTTGCCTTTGCGTATCCCGGCCCGGCTCCCCACAGTGCTGCTGGCCTGCCTTATCCTACCTCAGTCAGACGTCCCATCTTATCAGGATCATATCCTTGACTTTTCCTTGTATTGTTGAAACTCCAATTTTAATTGTTTCTTTTTCTTCCTTAGGCATCGGAAATGGCAGAGATTCATCTACCAAACTCACAATGCCTTATAAAAATGCCACAAGAATGCCTCAAAAGCAGGCGGTTTTACAGGCCAAAACTGGTGAGGTAGATAAGGAGCAGACAGCATACTTCAATGGTGATGTGAAAACCTTCAGACAGGAGGACCCAACAGACTCTTCGAATGACGCAAAAGGCTCAGGGTGAGTCACTTGCCATCTTATTTACCTGAATAAACTTGTAGGGTTATGAGTAACATTGTTAGAAAGCTACACAGGATGTATTATTTATTGAGCTCTTAGTTTGCACATTCCAAACACTGTCAAACATCAACTTAACAGAAACAAACTAATCCCCAGGAGCCTTGTCAGGTTTAGAGGTAAGCAAACTGAGGTGTAAAGCAGCCAAGGGCCTTATTTGCCCAACATCCCACTGTTAAGAAGCCAGAGTCCAAATTCAAACCCTGATTCACCTGACTCCAGACTGTTTTTGTTTGCATGGTAAATGTTTTGTAAAATCAGGAAAGAGGACGTTTGTGGAGTGACTGCCATAAGTCAGCCATTTTACATTGCTTTTTCTGTGGTACTGGCCTTCACACTCATATATGTCCAGCACTTTTTTATTTTTTATTTCGAGATGGGATCTCACAAAGTCACTAAATTGTCCAGGCTAGGCTAAAATGTGATCCTCCTGCTGGGATTGCAGGTGTACGGCACCATGCCTGGCTACATTACCTATCTTATATCTCACTGCAGCTCTGAGATACATCCTCCTGTCACATATGGGGAAATGGGGTCAGGGCTAGCTCAGGAGAACAGGGACAGTTTCTTGGAACGGAACACTGCTCAGGTGACTGCCTGAAAAGACACTAAGCCACAGGACCCATGGGAATAAGAGTGTGCCAAGAATCTTGGTGCCAGTGCCAGTGGGGAAAGCACTGGAGGTGGGAGTCCTGCACCAATTCTCAAACTATACCTCACTGGCCGCTCTTGACCAACTAGAAGGAGGGGACCAGGGTTCCTGGCACCCTGCCTGCTTAGCTGCTCCTTGGCCCTGGTGCTTCCATGGTGCTCTAGGGCTTCTAGCATACAGCGGGCTCTGTGAGCTCCAGGGTCCTTTCCAGCCTTCCCAATCTAGGACTGGGAAAGTTCATTTATACCCAAGGCAACTCTTATAAGTTAATTAAAAGTTAAAGTTTTGCTCAGGCAGAGCCTTGGTGTTGGAATAATCAGAATTCTAATGAAAATGTCTCTTTCCAGACCATCTACCAAAAGAACGTCCACTCGCACAGAAAAACCCAGCAAAGTGAGGGAAGCCTCCACCAGCACCCTATCCACCCAGAGTGTCACCACAAATCAGGAGCGGATTTGTGACCAGGGTTTTGACTTTGCTAGTCACAACACCAATGCCGAGTCACCTGCCACCGATAGCACTGCTAATAGCTACAGCCACAATCTGAGGGATTCCATGGCTTCTCAGCAAAGTTCTTCAACGCCTTCAGACTCTGAGGAAAGGAGCGAGCCTGTCAGTACTCAGTCTGGTAAGGCCTCAGCCCGTCTTCACTGTGCCTGAGCTCTTTCCTGCTTCAGCTGTTCCAAGGTGGTCTTTGGACAGAAGAAGACAGTCCCGAGTCTGCAGAATGATTTAGAAGAACCTTCCATTAGGTGTTCCATCATCAAAGAGCACACTTAATGGAGCAACAATTGTAAATGGTTACCACACTGTAAGATATTTTGATAAAAATTAATTAGTAGTAATTGTATTTATTTGAAACACTGGGCTGTTTGCACAGCTCCAACTGTGCATGCTCAAAATGTGCACTTTTAAAAATTGTTACTTTTAAAAAACAAAAAACAACAAAAAGAAGAACCTTCCATGAACATGTTCACAATAGAGGTGTAATTCATATGTCTCACTGCTAGGTGGCTTGAACCACCGGTGGTACCTGCATGGGTGGCTTTCTATTAATTTTATTAGTAAAAAGACTAATAAAAGTGCTTAGATTCATTTGTACCACTAGTAGTCCAAGCTGCCCAATGAGACAGTCACACCTGAACCACCAGTGGTTCAAGCCGGCAGGAATGTTGTTACTTTTGAGTAGATATCTTGAATCCAGTTTTTATTTCTCACATTTTTTGCCAGATATAAAAAAAATAATTCCTTTCAAAATGCAGATTTCCCTGGGCTCCTAACCCACAGGCTGCTCAACCGACACGTAGACACTCCTTTAGGGCCAAGGGTTCAGGAGGTCTTTGGAATTAGTCCCTCATCCTGTGTTTCCAAAACCAAAGGCCATTGCTTTTCTTTCCTGGACAAGATTTCTTTGAAAAAAAACCACTTTTATTATAGTACTAAGGGTTGAACCTAGGGTCTTTGTCCTGAACTGTATCCTCAGACTTTTTTTGTTTTTTATTTTGTTTGAGACAAGGTCTTGCTAAGTCGTCTAGGCTGGGCTCAAACTTGTGATCCTTCTGCCTGAGCCTTCCGGAGTGCTAGGACTGTGTCATCACACAGGCCCTCTCTTTGAAATTAAGTGATTTCAAAGCATCCTTTGGGGGTTGAGGAAATGAGGGACATATTTATAATAGCATCAGCGTGTCAGCAACCCAGGGGGCTGCCGAAGGTCTTAGGCCTGCCCCAAAGGGAGGCCAGGGTTGCTGTGAGACCCGCAGCATCTTCCCTAATCTTTCTTTTCCTTTTCCCTCTGGTTAGATGTGTAAACCTCGTGTGGCCTGGACAATGGTTCATCTTCCACTCTGGATAAACTTCCCACGGCCATGTCTCAGAATTTTCCTGCTTTGTGCTTGAACTCAGCAAAGGAAATGACCATTAAAAACAAGGGGAAACAAGACATCCGAAGGCCACTTTACCATCTGTCTTAGAAGATACCCATATCATCTCATTTTCTTGTGAGTTCTGAGTAAAAAGACATCTTTGTTTTTTTAAAAAAAAATCCCCATTATCTCTCCTGTGTTTTCCTACCAATGTGTGTGCTTAAGTGATTGTACACCCAGAATGTTTTTTGTGAATGATAACAATCAAATTTTAAAAGATTCCTGTGGAAGGGACAATCCTCTTTTCAGTGTATGTTTAAAACTTTAATGTTTTTTCTGTTTAATGACATCAGTTTTAACAACAGGAAGCTCATTTTGATCTTGTTAAGAACCAAATAGATTCTGTGAGGCTCAGGATTGCTCACAAGAGCTGTGTCAGATTGTTGCTAGTACACAGATACTGAAGGTTGCATGATACAGTCACATTTCACCACGGCACACGTCTATTTCGTTCTGCTGACTTTAGTGCCTGGCAGCCATACCCCCAAATGCTGGGCGTCCTGAAGGCCTCATCGTGCAACAGCATCCATCACTATCATCAGTACATCATTTCCTTTGGAAGTACATACTGGGACTTAACTACAAAAACAGGGATTATTTTTGTTATGTACACAAAGCAGTGCTTAGCTGCTGTCTCCTGGTGGTGTTGAAGTCCCCTAAATGCTGAACATTTATCACCTTTTCCTGTCTGTTCTCCTCAGTCCTGTCGTCCTTCAGCATGCACTCAGGTTTGGGATATGTTACGAAAATGTGCTCACTTTTCTCAGCACTGTCTGCAAGTGAGTACGGGGGCAGCATTACTCCTCAGTGCCCCTGAGAAGCACATGCATGCCTACACACACATGCATAACACACACATGCATGCACACACCAGGCATATGATTCCATAAAGCTGGAATAATGCAGATACCTTGTCCTAATGCTAATGAGTTTCATAGTGTTGACTCACAGAGTTTGAAGTAGACCAGTTATTCCTTCTAGCCACCAGTCTTGGATTTGTAAAAGGAGATAATTATTCTTTCTAATCCTTCGTTGTTTGCTGCCTTGAGTACTGTACCTTTGTTATAGATTAGGGCAGGATGCCTTAAGTTTAAAAACTATTTTTATACACTAGCTTTCATATATAAGGCAGAGACAATCACCCTAAAAATGAAGTTCAGATATTTTTCTGCAGAGATGACAGGTGTTGAAACGCTGTTACAGCTCTCTGTGAATGTGTGCTGTACGAAATAAACTTGCAGATCAAACCCATTTTGTTTTGTTATGATGGTATGAAATACACGGATAGTGGTATAAATGTGGCACCACTTGCTGACTGAGTGCAGGCACCCAGCACCCTCGGTAATAGCAAACAGACCTTCCAACTCCCCTCTTCATGCAGTTGGTGATGCAGAGGAGTTCCACTTCAGGACAGTAAGGCACCAGTTTCACATCTGCTCTTCTCCGTACAACTATTCAGTACTTGCTGTTCTTTCTTCTGGTGGCTCTCACTTACTGAAGTCTGATGCTAAAGTATCTTTTTATTGTGGTAAAATTCATATAACAGTCACCATGTTTTTTCTTTTTCTTTCCCTTTCCCCTTTTTTTCTTTGAGATGGGATCTGGCTATGTTCCCTAGACTGGCCTTGAACTCCTCGGCTGCAGGGATCCTCCTGCCTCAGCCTTACACATAATGGGGCTGTAGGTGTGTCTAGTTTTAGAACATTTTCTGAAAAGAAACCCATCCCCTCCCCACCCCTTTGAAACCTTGAATGTGGCACTTGCCTCAGATGAGGAAAACCTACTTGATTTTTTTTTCTCACTTTTCAAGGTCTGTCTGTACTCGGGCAGTTTGTGTGCTTGCTTTTTTGTCCACAGTACTGGGGATTGAACCGAGGATGCTCTACCACTGAGCTATCCCCAGCCCTTTTTTATATTTTTATTTGGAGTCAGGGTCTCACTAAGTTTCCCAGACCACCCTTGAAGTTGCAATCCTCTTGCCTCAGCCTGCCTCAGCTAGGATTACAGGCAGGCTCACATGCCCAGCGGTGTGCTCCATTACATACCCATTTCTTCATGATATTACTGTGATTTTGAATGGCAAAACGAATGTTCTGATGTGCCTGTAAATGTTTTGTGTCCAGTCTTAAAACATGCTTTCTCCACTAGGTTTTAGTTATAGTAAGACCAGAAGTGTGTTTATCCCTAATCTTTGGGATCTGGTTCTCAGAAGGATGGGAAAGGTGTTCCCCACTGAGCATTCAGTGCATTCTGTGCATTGGAATCAGCATAAGCTGGACACATCCCATTCCTGCCAAAGACCCCACCTCTATGGACATCATCTGTGCTCAGAGCCCTTGACTGCCAAGTCTGCCACCAGGTCCCTTGGTCCACCTCTTGACTAAAGTTTCTGTCATGACTCCAAGGCGCTGGGTGGAGTCCTTAGCCTTTCTGCCCCCTAGCCGACACCGTGGTCCCCTCACATTTCCCTTCCTCTCTGGATAGACTTTGGGTGTCCTACTCCCTGAAGGACAGATCCCTGGCTACTACCGGGAGATTCTTCCGAACGGCATGTTTCCTACACCTGTGTCATTAAGGACACATGTGACAGCTGCAGTAGCCAGAAACCCTGCTACCCAGGACCCTGAAGACTTGAATCCTAGCCAAGAGGGCTGCCAGCTCCTCTCTGAGCCTTGCTCCTCTGTCAGTGAGGCAGCTCTACTACAATCCCTGCAGGCCCTGTCACTTCTGCAGTTCCCCCCCCTTCCCAGATACCACTCACTGGCCAAGCCGAGAGCATCGGGAGACGCCAAACAGCAGCTCATGCCAGGGAGCTAAGCTTGGAGGTGACAACTGGCCCCTTTATCTCAGCAGGGCTCAATCTCTGTGCACTTTCAGTGCCCAACCCGACCTGATGGGTTGGAGTCAGCCCCAGTTCTCACTCCCAGCAGTCCAGTGACGGTGTCCCCAGGTGGGTCCTGCTCACTCCCCTGACTACTCTGAGTCATAGTAATGTAGTCCAGGTCATTCACATGACATGCTGGGTGCTTCAGAAGCGTCATTGTAATGATGGGAGTTCATTTTTATCAATGAGATCATTGTTGTTTGTGGAAATGGGCATTTGTCACATAACTAGAAAGAGGCAGGGCTGGTATTGAAACCCAGGTCTGTCCCACCCCCGCCTTTGGGAGCCACACATCATGTGGCCTATAGGGTAGGTCAGACACCACCAGAACAGTGTCTTTGGAACTGGGGACAAAATCCTTGCCAATGTTGATTGGACACTTTAGTGTCATTTTACAGCTGAAGAAACAATGTCAGGTAACTTGCCTGAGGTCTCATTCCTAGAGAATGGCAGAGTAGCCAGATTTGAACCTGGGCAGTCTGGCTGCAGACACCACCCTGTTAGCCACATGTTGGTAAGTTCTTGACATTCTGATCCCCTTTGAGGGAGAAAATGCTTCTCTGCTGGTGATACAATAACGAAATTACCCTCATTCCTCCTGAACATTATGGGCGTCACTCAACAAACAACGTATGCCTTCTAAAGTCACGAGGGGAATGCTGCAGGGGGTGCTGGAGTACGGGCAGAACCCAGGTGCCACATCCTCAGGGAGGGCTGCCCCCCCTCCTTTCCTTGCTGCCGCCTCAGGTACCTGCTCCCTAGGCAAGGCTGGGGGCCAGTTGCTCTCAAGAACCCAACCACCCCGCTCCCCATGCAGCCCTGCACACTGGACAGACTCATTGGTTTAAAGGTTGTAATAGCTCATTTCTCTAGAGGAACACATATAAGGGGATGTCCCATGTTCTTAAAAGTGCTCATGGTCATGCAAGGCCCTGGATTCAATCCCTGGGTGGGAGGACCCCCAAACAAAAAGCTCACAGCTCACAGTTCCTCACTGTCAGGCTTCAATTCCTAAGAGGGTAAATGTTAGCACCCAAGGGCTCTGGCCCAGCCGAGGGGGCCCACTGAAGTCTTAACACCCTCCTCTCCATTGACTAAGCCCTTAGCCAAGATGTTTTGACGAGGTGCCTTAGAGCATGTGGCTCCTTCAGAAAGCAGGTGAGCTCTGCCACTGCCTGTTGCCCTGGGCCTCCTAGGCCACCTGGAAGTGACAAGTGGGGGTGGGGTGGATGTCCTGAGAGCAGGAGCCTCAGGTGAGCGAGTGACATGGCTGCGTGGTGGTCTAGCAGCTGTGTGCCAGGCCAGCTCCCTCTGCCCACACCTCCCCACCCTCTGCCTAACTGGACAGCTGAGCCCAGAACACAAGGACCAGCCAGGGTCTCTTGGGGCAGAGGGTTCCGGCAGCCACAGGTTAGGGTACAGTGGTGCTCAATGTGAATCCAGAGAGTCCGGCAGGAAAGTCAGGAGGAGGCTCCAAGAATATACTGCCCATGAGGACTTCTCAGCGACATGCTTTTCTAAGGGATGTGCAAATCTGGGGAAGGCTATCTTGGGTCATAGTGGACACCCAGTTTTTCCTTAACCTGGATCAAAGGTGTGTTACAGGTCTGTCTTATGTACAGTTCCTATGTTCCGTGTGATTGCACCAAACCGAGTATATCCTTGAGTTAGGGGAAAAAAAGCCTCTCAGGTTTCTGGGTTAGCAGTATCACCTTATGGCTTTATTCTGGGCAGTATACAAAGACAAGAGGCAAGTTATTTCTATGCTGCTTTATTTCTGTAAGGATACACTGAAACATTAGATGATAACAGCTAATGACAAAATGTAAAAATGAGGCACTGGCTTCTACAATCACTCCTATGAGAACATTAATATGTATTGTCATAACATGTTTACTTTGGATACTGTCTTGTGATACTATGTAATATAGTAATGGAGAATACAGTAAGTAGGTGATCCTGCATCACAGGGAAGCAGGAGGTGGAAATCAGGTTCCGCTTGTGAGGACTTCCCCAGAGAGCCAGCTGAGCTCTTGAGAAGCCCTAGGAGTCACAACAGAAGGGACTGTGCAGCCCTCTTCGACACAGATGAAGAGCAGACAACTACATGTTACAAGGGATTCAACTCGTCATGGTTTCACAATGTCAGCTCCACATTAATGACAGCCCTGGTGCCTGCTCAGCTACCCCTCTAGAGTGTTACAGTCATTGCTGAAGGATGAACCTCAAAACTGCAGGACTGTCTGAGGGGGCCCAAATATCATCATGCAAGTTTCCAAACCCATAAACTATTCTACTATTAATTAAAACAAAAATATCATTAATTAGAAAAATAAAAAAGACAGCAGGGTTAGTTTTGTTAAGCTTCCAGAAGTATTGGCTGTGATGCTGCTGCTCTGAAACAGGCTTGTTTTCTCAGATCTGCTCACACATTCCCAATCACCTGTATGTTTCATGCTGTGAAGCAGGAACGCTCAGAACACATGCCGCACAGGCAAATCAAACATCAGCGTGGGTAAAACGGTCAGTTGAGAATTACAGCTAAGTTCAAATGTTAATTTCCTGAAAATTCTTGTTAATCATGTAAAAGCACAAAAGAACAGAAGGAAGGTCAGAGTTTTAATAAGGAAGCTAAACCATGCATTCCAGCAAATTCTTTCTCTGCCCACAGAAGAGGGTGAGCAGTGAGTTGGAGCAGCCGCTGCAACTCTCGAGTGTCTTCGACTACATGGTAGGTCCCAGCTGAGCCACAAAAGGCGTCTCAGTGGGGGCTTTGTTGCTTATGCTTCTTGCTTACATCATAAGTGGCTAAATGGTCAGTACTTTTCTGCTCTATGATAAACATGCAGAAGAGTCAATCTATCTAAGTTTTTGTTTCTTCATTGCAGCTATAGAGAAATTAACTTTGCTGCAAGTTTGCTTTTGGCTAAATACTAATATGATCACTGTGTGTCCTTATTTGAGTAATACTGTAAAATGGGAGAAAAGACAGAAGGAACAACGTTAGGAGGTGAAAGACCACTCTTGTCCTATTGATGGTGTAGGGCAGAGAGAGCAAGGACACAAAGAACATGATGCACATTCCATTTTACAGGACAGGAGCCCCTGTCACTTTACAGCTTTTTGGCACAGTCAGGGCAATACACCTGCTCCTGGTGATAAACAAAGCGCTTGTTGGCCAGATTCACGGAGCATTTTTTGCAGTGGAAGCAGTAGTCGTGCCAGGATTGTCCTTCATAGGCCACCACACTGGAGCCTTTACCAAACCCTGTGGAAAAACAAAAGAAAACGAGAGACAGTTGAATGAATACAAGTGAGCAAGCTGTGATTCAGAGATAAAATGACGACTTGCCCCATTCAGAGCCAA